AAGCACCAAAAGGCGCCTCCCGCCCGCCGCCCTCCCTCCCGCCAAGCCGCCTCCATCGCAGCCACAACTGCCACCCTGCGGGCTGTGGACGCGGCTGCACCAGAGACGCGCGCCGCGCTCCCCGAGGCGGCCCACGCGGCCATTCGCCGCGCCACGTGCCTGCTTCAGCCCACGCCCCCGACTCCAACGTGCGCTTCTGCGCGAGCGCCTCAGCACAAGCTGGCGCGGCTCGCCCCCGCGCCGCGCCGTGCGGCCTCCGCCTCGCGGGCTGCCCCCGGCGGGCCGCCGCAGCCCACGGACGCCGCCTCGCCACTCCCTCAGCCTCGGCCGGCCCGCCGGCCTCGCTTCAGCCCGTCCCCCGCCGTCTCGCCCGCCCGCCACAACGGTCGGCTTCCTCGCCGTGCGCGCGTCGATGTCGTCCGGCGCTGAGCCGCGTGGCGTCTCCCAGCCCCGCGCCTCGCGCACCGCGCCGCCTCCCGGCGGCGGCCGACCGGCCGCTGCGCTCCCGGGCGCGCGCAGCAGGACTGGCCGCCGAGCGCCTCAGCCGCCGGGGGACCGACCTGGCGGCGCCGCGTCGGAGGTCGGCGCGCCCTGCTAGCGCGCGCGCAGGAGCGCCCGGGCTCCGCGCGGCTGCCGCCCGGCACCATCGTGCGCAGCACCACCGAGGCTCGTCTCGTCCATCAAGAACTCGGTCGGGTTACCAGCCCGAAGACAAGAAGCCGCATCACCGTCGCCTGTCGGCCAAGGGCGCGAGCTGCTGCCTCGGCGGCGAGCCCCCGCTCCGCCGCGCGAGCCGGCGTCGCCGCCGCTCGCAAGTCCCATCGCCGTCGCCCAGCCCCGTGGCGGTCGGGTGAGCGGTCGCCGGCAGCCGGGCCCGGACCCCGGCGGCGCGCGTGTCCCCCGCCGCCAACGCCCTGCCGCCGCCGGGGATGCTCGCGCGCGCGCTAGACGCCAGCGCGCTGACGCCGCCCCCCGCCGGCCTGCGCCACGCGCCAAGCGACGCGGCCGCCGCGCGACCAAAGAGAGCGCAACGGCGGGCCCGCGTCGCGCCTGTTCGCGCTCCGCCGCCGCGTCGCGTCGTCTGCAATCTCTTCTGACCGGACGACGGCGCAACCGCGAGCGCGGCCGCCTGGAGACAACCCAACCATCGAGGCGCAAAGAAGGCCTGCGCGAGACAGACGAGCGCGAGGCCAAGTCGCGAATGGCGCTCCTACGTGCGCACACGCCAGATCCCACGCCAGAAGACAACGACGTCTCCACAAGCGCCACCGTGCTCCAAAGGGAGCCCGAAGAAGAAAAGAACGGGGAGGCGAAGAAGAAGTCGGTCTAGGATAGTCCCAAAGCGGAGAATGGAACTACCCACGGGAGTCGCGGACTCGAAGAAGCCTTCCGCGCTCAGAAGAGCACCAACGGCACCGGTCGGCCTGCGGGGCGCGCGCGGGAGGACGCCGCGCGGAGAAGCGCAAGGAGCCGCAATCACGACAAGGCTTCTGGAGGCGGCGGCGGGCCGCCGCCTGCCGCAGGTGCCCAACCTTCGCTCTGGCGCCCGTCGAGGACTACGTGTCGCTGCCCGACAGCCTCTGAGCCACTGCCACGCTTGGACGAGCGGCCGGGTCCGCTTGCGCACACGACTTCCTTCCTTCCAGCAGAGCTGCTGCTGCGCGACGCGCCCTCGCCCGCGCCCTCGTCCCTGCGCCGGCGGCCTGCCCGCTCCTCGTCCGTGCTGGATGCGCGCCATGCGCCGCTCTGGAGCAGGCCGGCGGCGGCCGCCCGCCCTTCAAGGTCCGAGCCCTAACCTGGGGCTACTGAGCGTGTATTTGCGTGAGAAGCGTCCGGTCTCCGAGTCGCAGTTCCGGAGGCTTGGACGCGCGAAAGCTCAGCGCCAGCTCGTCCCCTCGCCCAGCACCGTACCGCGGCCTCGTGCGCAGTCGTCCTGCATGTGGGGCGGTCGCACTTCGTTCAAGTGGAGCCGTTGCGGCGTCCTGGGGCAGATCGGCGCTTCTCGTCGCCCGCCCACGTCCGCGCACCCTCACCCCGAGCCCCCGCCGGCCAAGGCGCGCAGCCGCCCAGCGAGCGCCCAACCCGCAGGCCGAAGGCGGGCGGCGGCGGGCATGCGCAGCGTGTCGGCCCAGCGTGAGCTTCTCGCCGTCACCATCCGCCGGCCGCGCGGCCCGTCGCCGTCTCCCTCCAGCCGCCGCATCCGCGGCGCGAGGGGGCTGGCATCGGCCCGCGCGGCGTGGTGGAGGGGTGGGCCGGCGGTGCGGTGCGGCCCGCGGCGAGCGCGCGCGCGCAGCGCCGGCGACGCCAGAACGGTGGCCCGCGCCGCCGCCGACACCGCGCCCACGCCTCCCGCGCGGGCTCCTCGCTCGACCTCTCGCACATCGCCGACCACGCCGAGTACCAGACTGTCGTGCTCGAGCTCCTCCACTCCTACCAAAGGAAGTCGGAGCGCTTCAAGGAGCTGCACAGTCTACTCGAGCATCGAGCGCCTCGGAGAGCTGGTGCGCGCCGGCGGTCGGCCGGGACCTGCGGCCAGCGGTCAAGGGATAGAGGTGATCGACTTAGAGGCGCTGGTAGAAGCTGCGCATCCAAGTGAGAGGGCCGACGCGAGCTGCACGAGCGATGCATGAGCTTGACAAGTAGCGCAGAGGGAGCGGGGACTTCTGTTTCTCCGCGCGACTCCGAGACGCTGCGTGGCGCGGCGATCGCGGCCTGCCGCGCAAGAAAAGTCCGTGGAGGATCTTCGCGACCGCTTCCGCAAACTCCAGCATTCAAGAAGTCGGAGCTGGAGGTGGCGCGGCGCCGCGAACTCGGAGGCCCGGAAGGACGTGTACAAAACCGCATGGCGTGGGTCGGTCCCGGTGGTGAAACCTTGGCTAGCTACCTGGGCCACACGTGGGTCGCACCGCGGCGGCGCCGTGGTGGAACCGAGGCCGCGCGCCGGGCGAGGTCCCGCCGCCCGCCGCCGCCACCGGATCGCCTCGCCCGCGCCGGGCGCGGCATCGGCAGCCGCTCTGGAGCAGCCTGTCCATGGAGCAGGTGAGCGCCCTAAGAGCCAGCTCAGCGAGATCTACAGCTCTCGTGTCCAACCTGCGCGCGACCGCCGCCGCAAGGCGGGGCCGAGTCCCCCCTCGCCCGCACGTCCCGCTAGCGCGTCCGAGTACGAGATGCCGTGCGGCCGCCACCCCCCGGCCCGCGAGACGAAGCCGGGGCCCGCGTTGCCACGTGCGCTGCAACTCGCTGCTGACGCGCGAGCAGCTGTACTTCGCTCATGCTGCGCCGCCGGGAGGCCCGCCGCTCCGAGAGCATGAGGCGACTCCTGCGGCTCGTTGCCGCATGGAAGCGCACCAGGACGCGCGCAAAAGCCTCCGGCCCGCCGCCAAGCGCTGTCGAAGACCGAGAAGAACGCCTGTCCATCGACGCTCACCCAGGGGTGCTGGACCGCGTGAACCGGCGCCACCGCCGCGCCGACATCGGCGCCGCTGCAGCTCGCCGCGAGAGACGCTGGGGGCGGCGGCGGCGGCCGCGGCCCGAGGGAAGTCGCGGGCTCCAGCCCGCTGCTGTCGGACACAGCTCTCCCCGCACGTGCACTCACTCGAAATGTCTGAGGAAGACGCTTCGCCCTACACGCGCGCTGCGGGGCGGTCGCGCGCCAGAACGACTTCTGCTGTGCTGACGCCGGGACGACGAGGCGCGGCGCAAGCGGTGAAAAAAAGTGGTGGACAGTGGGCGGCGCGGGCGAGGGTACGAGGGCGTGCCGGAGGCCTGGGTGCGGCCGCGTCGGTCAGCGAGACGAGAGCGGCCAGCTCGGAAAGCGTCGACGCGCACGTGATCCGGGGCGACGCTCCAAGACGGCGAGGACGTGCTGGCGGAAGCGTGGAGTAACTTCGAGCAGTGTGGCGGCGAAGGACGAGGCGGCGCGCGCCGGGCGGCGGCCCGGACGTGTGAGCGCGCAGCGCCCAGCGACGTTGCGCCCACGCGAGGGCCGACGCCGACGCCGGGCTGGGCGCCGCCGGACCGCGCACGCTAAGCGCGCCGGGCTCCTTCGGCGACGGCGGGCGAGTGCCGCGCCCGCGGCTGGGCTTCCCGCGGGACGCCCACCGCCGACGCCAGCGCCCGTGCCGGGAGCGCGAAGCGCCCGGCGCAAGCCGCGGAAGCGGCGCGCGTGCCGCGCCCGCCGCCCTGGGGCCGTCGCGCTCCTACGCCGACCGTCAAGGAAGCTGTTCGCGAGCGGGCCTGCGCGCAGCCGCTACGAGGTGGTGCGCCGCCGCCGCCGCCCGCCTTGCCCGCCCGCGCCCGCGCCGGCCGCACACCACCTGGCCCCGTGCGGTCCGCCGCTCGTCCGCCGCCCGCTGGCCACTACCCCCCGCGCACTAGGCTCGCCATGCGCTCGTCGGCGGCGCGTCGCCGTAGAGCCTGGTGGCGCCTGCCGCTGCGCCAGCGCGTCCGCCCGCCCCCCAAGTCACTGGGCGCGTACTGCGCATGGTGCGCGGCGCCGTCGCCGTGCGGCCGCCGCGTCCTTACGAGGCCTCGAGGAGCTGTACGCGTCGGTGTCGCGCTGGCGCGCGGCGGCGTCCGCCCGCGCGCCCCAGGCGCCACGCGCGACTCCGAGTGCGCGCGAGCTGCTGGATGCGCCGCGGCACGGACCCGCGCGCCGCTCGGTGGTGCGCGGCCAGGAGTACGGGCGATCGTGCGATTGGCCTGCGCGGGCCGCTACGAGGCGCGCCGCCGGCAGGGGCCGCCCGCGCGCAGGCAGAGGCCGCGCCGCAGTCGCCCGTGCTGCGCGTGCCGCTGCGCGCCGACGCACCGCTCATTGCCGCACATCACGTCTCAGCAAGACGCCCAGCCTGCAGACAAAAAACAGCGCGCCGCGGCGGCGACGCCGGGCTGGCGGCGTCCAAGAGGCGCGCCGCCGGCGAGTGACCGCATTCGCCCAGAAGTTTCGAGCAGCCAGCTGTCGCTCATGGGCCAACATGTTCCACTCGTCGAGCCCGACGTCCGCGGAGCTGAAGGACATCGCGCCGTACCCTCGGGTGCGAGTGGTGGCGCACCGCCACCCCGAGCCGCGCGCCTCCGCGCACAGCCGTCCTCCCTCATCGTTCCGCCCCCGAGGCTCCCCCGAAAATACTCTGCGTCCGCGCCCCCCCGGCCCCGAAACTCACCGAAGTGCCCTGCTCCATCCTCAAGCCGCAACAGCAGCAGCAGGCGCCGACGCAGCGTTACCACCACCAGCAGCAACCGCCGCCGCCGCCACCCTACCAGCCGCAGCACTACGCGTACCAGTACTACTACCAGCAGCCGCCTCAGCAACAGCAGCAGCAACAGCGACCGCGCGTGGATGTGTTCGCCAATCAACGTTTCGACCCGACCATCCACCGCCCCGCGTACCGGTACCAGCCGGAGCCCGCACCAGCGAGGCCCACCGTCACGTTCCAAGGTGCCGACGCGCACGAAGCCCCCGCACCAGTGCACCACCGATGCCATCCACGGGCGCCGCCTCTCCGGATTCAGCACCCGCGCACCACCACTCGTAGCACGCACTGTACATAGTACGTCATCCCCAAACCGACTGTCCTTGTGCGGGTCGTTTCTCCTCTGGGTGCTGACGTTGAATGGCATGTGGGTACAAATATTTGAGGTAATACTAAATTTTTAAAAAAATGTAGAAATGACGCCAAAATATTGTTATGTCAGTGTGTTTTACACTGAAAAAAAAAAGTTTCTGTTCTGTAATATAAATATGCTTTGCTTCCATTAAGTGTGGCGTCTAATTTCACATATGTATGTTCAAGGCACGGGAATTTCTTGTTATGAGCGAATACTTTTTGCTTCATAGTTTGGATGAATGGCTGAAAAATAATTATAATTTGTAGATGCAGACCTCTGTGGTACAGTAAAGCCACTCTTTCTGAATTTTGAGAAAATATAATGTTCCAAACCAAAAAAGATGTTGAAACAGGACTCGCGATTTGCGTTCGCACGTGAACGCTCTGCAGAACGACTAGTCTCTGGCTCTGAGACCGCAGTCGGTTTCAAGGAACGTGCACCCACCCAGCCAGCCGCACCACGGCCGGGCGCTGGGAATGCCAAACGCGTCGCCCATTGAAGCGCCGGTCGCCCATTGAGGAGACGCGACCCGCGCGGGGACAGCGCACGCATCACGCCCTCCCCCACGCCCCGCACGCACCGCCTCTACCTCCGCCGCCGCACGCGTGAGCGCGCCCGGCGCCGCCGCCGCGGCCGGGTCGTCGCTCGCGTCCAGCCTTGCATGACGCCCGCCGCTAACCTTGTTACGTCCCGCACGCAGCGCCGGGGCTTCGCCGCCACTCAGGGCGGAGGAAAAGGAGGAGCAGGAGGCGGCGGCGACCGCGTTCCCGCCGAACGAGGGCAGTCCGCTCGCCGCCCCCCTCTCCTCCCTCCCCTCGTGCAGGCCTAGGCCGCCGCCCACGGGAATGAAGGGTGAATATGGAGAGCAGAACTTAACGTGTGTGTTTTCATTTGGTTGAAATGTACATAAAATGCCGTAAGTCTTTTATAAAAAGGGGTACTGCAGTAGGCTACATTATCTTTTAAGAGAAATTTCTTCGAATTTAGTTTGTTTAAGAAATAAATTTCCAAGCTCAACATATCTCTTAGGAAGCTGTAGGCAAGTTCTTTTGCTTATCGTTAGTTCGTATGTATATCGTAATACGTATGTTTTTTGTGTACATTGCGAGAAACTGAGAAATTTGAGCATGTTTTTAAAAAGGCAACTTTATATCAGACATTTAATTAACTAAAATACTTGATATCAAACATTTAAATCTTTCTTCTCATTGTCAAGAAATTCGTATGTTTTTGTGTACATTGCGAGAAACTGAGAAATCTGGACATGTTTTTCAAAAGAGAAGTGTGTATATTGCATAGCATCTCTCTCCGTCACTTTTCTGACGAGAAAATCTTTTCGCATACAATTTACGATTCGTGTCGTAATCTTGAGCATAGTTCCTGTTAATCGTTCCAAGAGCGGATACATTTTCATCTTCAATTGACAGCGGTTCAATTGAAAGCTAGTTGAGCCGTTTTTATAGTAAGTCATATTTAAATACCACCTTAAATTCGGTTATGCTCTCCACACGCCGCTTCTTCATTTGCGTGCGGCGGGCGCCGCTTGGTTGCCCCCGGCCGCCTCACCCCATCCCGGGCCCGCATGACCGCGGCGGCCTGCCTTTGTAGTGTGTAGTGGTAGAGGTAGATGTTGGTGGTAGACGCTCGTGCTCGCCGTGTGTTGCTGTACGTGTTCTGATCTATTGCCTCCGTCCAGAGCCTCCCGTGCGCCCCCCGCCGCTGCCGCCCCTGCGCTTCGGAGCAGGTAAGACCACGGCACCGCCCACCGCCCACCGCACGGCGCACGGCGACGGTTCTCGCGCACGAGCACCCATCGACGTGTGTCTTTCTCTTTGGCGAAAAGGCTAACGTCTCCCTAGGAGAGCGAAGACCCACACGGAAGCCTCTGGCTGCCTCAGCCAGCGGGTTCCAGTGGGCTAGGCGCTTCATTTCAGGGAGCACTCTTGCGGGAGGAGCTGTTGCCGAAGGTTCGCTTTAAGACGTGTACGGTGGAACACGTAACTCGGTTTCCTTGGTGCATAAGTTGTTCTTATTCACTCTTCACTTTTTCTATTGACTATAGTCGCGTACTGTAACTTTGGTAAGAAAAACATTTTTTTCGTGATTTTTTTTTCCCTTTATATTTGAGATACCGAGGTTCCAGAGCTTCATAAGGCAGCTCCTTCAAATGTAAGTTTGAGGTTGTAATTTGATGAATGATCAGCAATTCATCTCGCAAGAGAGTTCTTTGAAGAGTAAGTCTGAATTTGGTTGTGCACAATAGAAAAAAATGTAAAGAAGAATGGCCTTTATTTATTAGTAAAAAAATGTGTTTTCTCGAATGTTAATGTGATGGCTGCTATTGGTGTTTGCTGTTGCTAAGAAGTCATTTCAAATAAAGCTTCGCCCTTCAAGCTCAAAACTTCGAATGAGATTGGATAATCAGCAGTAGCGGAAGCTTCGGTTTCGTTATCCGTTTACCGATACCAACATTCCCCACAGCCCGGCGCCTCGGATTGCTACACTAAATTGCTAGGAAATGTTAAATTCTAGGAAATGTTAAAATGCTTGTTTAAAACGAAATTTCATATGCTTTTGTATTTTTATTTACTTGTTTATTCAGAAAGGTCTTTGTTAGTATTTCCAAAGATGTTTTACATTTACAATTGTATAAAATTCAACTCACGATCAAGAGAATATGTTGCCTAAAACATGAGTATTTTTCCAGTAACCAATTCAAATTATCAGTTTCAAATACCACTAATATGATGAAATTGCATTACACAGAACAATGTCCAGTTTTCTTTGCATAATTTTTAGATAAAAACTACATACTATCGTATAAAATGTTGCTAAGTTTAATATAGGTCATTTCTTTCCAAGAATGGAGTTTGTAAACGTTTCACACGAGAAACACTATTCGGAAGAGACCTTGATATTGAGACGGGGTGAACAACGTTCCATTAGTTGAAAACGCGCGAGAATGGCTTCATGTGAGGCGGAGGCCACCTTGAAGAATCAAATTGGTTAAAATTGACGCTTCATCGGGTGATTACCGGCCGCGAGCGGAGAGGAGACGAACGTCGTTAGGAAAGAACGGCCAGCAGCAAACGTCGCACGCGGAAACTAATTCGTTTGTGCCTCGAGCGGTTCCAAACATCTGGCAGCACCGCTTGCCCTAGGTTAGGAAATTACGAAAATGCTCAACTTCACATCCATTCTGCACTATGCATCTTTAAATCCAAAATACATATCGAGATTAGATTTAACTTTTTTGTTTTATCATTTCTGCCTCAGGAACATTTTAAACGTTTGTGTTCCAGAATAAATTGTGTATAATTATCATTGGTAATTTCTTTTAAATTCCATAGTTGTGAATTTTAAAATAGGGCATGATGACGGTATATGAGTGATATGGTATTCTGGTTAATTAGCTGAATCGTTAGTTGGAAACGAGCGAAAGCTGTTTCATGAGGCCGTGTGACCTCTTTGGAGAATCAAATTGGTCAAAATTGAAGCCCTCGACCGGTGATTACCGTCCGCGTCCGTTTAGCGGTCAGGAAGCGAGCGTCGCTGGGAGAGCGTAGCGGTCAGCAGCGAGCATTGCGCGCCGCCACTGGCCGCTCCGTGAAATTGAGGAAAGACCGCTGCTGTTTCCCGGCATTCTCGTTGTTCCGTGGGAGAAGACAACCGACATTTGTGCCCATCCGTACGCAAACATGTCGTTACAAGGCATGCGAAAAGTGTTATTAGTTTCAAGAAGACGCCCGCAGAGGCAAAGTCAGTTTTGAAGCTAACGGCGTCGCGGATGTACACTATGTTAGGAATGAGAATTTCCGAAAAAAAACAAAACATTTTCGCCTTTAAACTCAAAATGTTAAATAAATGAATTTCATGTTTTTGAATACATAAAAAACTGAGATGAAATTCTAAACCGAATTGTATGGCATAATTTTAATAAATATTCATCTAAAAACGAAAATATATTTATCATATTTTATTTATCTCGAATTGTTGACAGGGCTTTAGCAGAATTACACCAGGAAGCGAAATTTCTCTGTACAAATTTTCGTGAGAAATGGCATTTCGTGAATTGTGAGTCCAGTAATTGCTAACAAGCTGTATTTACGACACCGTAATGAAGTTCTTGCAGATGTTCTTATGATGCTTTCACTGAGTGTGAAAGAGGTGTCTTTTAAAATTACACTCAAATTTTATACGTTAGAAAGCTCAGAAAATATAGTTGTTTTACATGCAAATCGACTATTCGATTGACGAAAATTAGGTGGGAATGAGAAATCCTGGGAAGTTTCAGAGAGTTGACACGTGAGTTTCCAGGCACCCACGTTTGAATCCAATCTCAGAGGTCGTTGGAATGCGTGATCTTGTCAGCGAACACTCCGCGAGCCCAGCGGAGTTGTGGAACTGAAAAACAACATTGCAATAAACATTAATGAACAAATTAAAAAAATGTTTTTGTATATAATCGTAAGCAACATTTTTTACGCAGTTTGTAACTTTAAATTGAAGACAGTATCAATTCATTAAATAATCAGGAGCATTTTTTTATTAATACCTGAAATTACTGTAACTGTTCTAATTGTGAACTTTTGTTCTGTGTTCATCATATCTTAGTGTAACACACTTATAAACATGGGGGAAAGTCGTTTTTCGAAGGTATTATTGCAAGAATTTTAAAATGTACATTTAAAAAATAAACAATTACATTTACTAAAAAATTTTAAAGTCTATGTTACTAAATTGTTAGATTTTTATATACTATTGGGAGTAGCAATCACAAACGGATTTGGAGATATATTTTTCAATTTTAAACACTGAACAAGTGATTATTTTATTGCTAGGTGAATTAATTCATTTTGAGGAGATGTACTAGTATTCGGTCATTCTCTTATTTGAAACCATGATTCAAGCATCTGGAATTTGCGATAAGTTCTCTGTGCGGCGTAAGAACAACCGTCACCCCGGGCGCTCCCCAAGGTCCACTTCTGGAACGCTCCGCTGCATGCCGTGGTTGTGGTTATCTTCTCCACGCACTTTCTTTTTTGTTTTTGTGTGAAATGTATGCGTATTACTTATATATTTCTGTTTCTTCACTTAACATTCCAGAAAGAAGTGGCCTCTTTTCGTTCATTTACATAAAAATCAATGTTTGAGAGCATTTTGCAAAGAACGATGATGTCATTACATATAATTCTGTTTACGAAAAAAGTGACTACGTTTCTGGAGTGTTAGTATATTATCAGTGTCTATGTTATTGTGCTTTTTTTAATTGTTTCGTCTCACCATCCCAACCATGTGGAATACATCTAAAGGTAAGGCATCTCGAGTTGTTTGTCACTGTTTGTACAACTAAGGTGAAAAGTTTGTGTGACTACCGAACGTTCTCTTCCTGAATGGAAGTTTGTCTTGCTTGAAAACTCTTGAGTATATTTCCGGATCGTTCGTCTTGCCAACACTGCACTCTCTAGAGAAATGGGGGAGGGGGAAGAGAGGGGTCTGGAATGTTGGAGGGGGGGGCTTCTTGAACTCGGCGCGTGTACTAGAGGGGAGGGGGCCGTCTCGCCGGGTGTCGCGGAACAAGGGTCTCCAGTTCTGGCCAGCACCCCCTCTCCACGACGACTCGTCTCATATTGCAGGCGAGATCTATGACCAGTTTGTAACTGGTAAACTGTGGTGACTATTACGATGTTGAATGTCGGTTACGGTAGGGAATTTATTTGGTGACAGAAGAAGCCTAACATTTCAAGTAGTTTTAAAACAATTTCGTCAAGAACAATAATTGCATTACATCTGACTCTTAATAATGGATATGAGACATCTTAATTACTGTTCACTGATTCAAATGAAAGTCAATTCGAGTTAAATGACAACTGTTGTAAGCGAAAAAATAAAAGCATATATGGGGTTTGTTTTCTGACATAGGATGCTAATTGAATTCCCATTTTAGAAATGAAGAAATCAAATATTCCATATTAAATTTTTTCACTGAAACAGAGCAAGGTTTTCATCATGTAGATGGCGATGAGAAGATTTACCATTAGGAGATGGTACGGAACTTCGTTAGCGGATTGCCTTTAACTTTTGCTCATAGTCTGAATTCCATTTATCTTACATTTCTTTCTTACGATGTTCGTTCCACATAATTTACTTCTTTGCCTCCATGCAAGTTGCAGGAAATACGTTTTTAGTTTCAGTCAGTGTAAATGAATGACAACATGAAGCGAACTTCACTTATTTGGGTCATGACTTTTGTTGTACTATAAAACGCTGATGATGAAATACCTTCTTTACTTCATCTTTTTGAAAGATTCTTCTGCTCCAATTAAAATAAGGTATTCTGAGAATGTAGCAATTAAGTCAGTTTTATTCAATTTCCCTCTCTCTTACTTCCGTTCTTTTGTGAACGAGACCCATTACTGACGCGGGGCCCATAATACGAATATCATTAAGCTGAGTTTCTAAGAGTCCCGATCAAAGGGTTGCTTAGAATTGTTATTCATTGACGGATTTTTGGGTAACTTTAGAAGTGAAGAGTATTGCCGAAACATTTCATAATCTGCGCGTTTCTTTGAAACACGGAGTTAAATGTACTACTCTTGTTCTACTTCCGCATCACCAGTCTGTGGATGCCTCCCGACTTAGTAACGATGCTTTTCTCATATGACTAAATTGTTTAATTTCTTTCATTTTTCTCAGTGTCACTGATATTTCCAGAAGAAAATATCGTGACGAAACCTCAGTCAAATTTCATTGTGACCAAAGCTGCTGCCAGTTCGAAGTTGAAACTAATATAGGCAATACAAATTGCAGAAATCTCTCTTAATAGTAAAAGTAAAATGAAATAAATTAAATATTGCTTTCTTTTCTTTAGCATGTAATTCTGTAGTAAATTTCAGCCAGGTTCTTCCAAACACTACGATTTATGGTTCTATTGTGTAAGGTATTGCTATTCACACTTCAAACAAATGCACGAAGAACATCGGAACCATAATTCGTGCCGCGCGCGTACATACGAACTAGAACCGTGCTTATCCACTATTAAATCTGGCCATTACTTCGACTTGTAATCCACCACTGAATCGAATTGCGTGTTCGCGAATGCATCCGTGAGTCATTCCTACTGAAGGGGAAAGCCATTTCCAATTATGACGAGGCCGCTGGAGGACGACTGCATTGGGGGCCACCTGGCCACGGCGCCCACGTGGCCCCGTTGGCCCAGCAGCCACCTCCCCGACACCCGCTCTCTTCGTTGTTTTCCTCGGGAGGCAAGAAACGCGGTTGCGACTACCTCTTCTCAAAACTTGGGAGTCGCGGCGCGTCATCGGAAATTATTTCAATGCAAAAAACCTTTATTGTAATTATTTTTTTTAACACTATACGTCGTCGATATAACTTGTAATGTGTTTCGAAAATTCTAAGCAACCACTTTTTATCTCTGATTTTCTTCGTTGTCAATTCTAAAACTAAAAACTGAATGAAGTGAGGTTAACCTTGCAACACGAATGAGCGGAAGAAATTGCTAACACAGACGAGACTTACGAATGCATAGCATTACTATATTTTTTATTTCAATGATTCCGTACTGTTTTTATTCATATTTCTTCAGTATGAATAGGTCGAAGTGCTGTCAACAAGAATTATTGAAGCGAGTTGAAACTAATGTGACGAGCAAACTTGACTCTGACGACGGAAAGATTTGTGGAGATGGGTTTCTCTTTAAATCGCTTATCTTTAAAGTTACAAAGCGCTGAGATTTTAAAAATTAAAACACGTGAAGACGTTATGTATCGAGAATAAGGACCGTGGAATTTTAGCACCTTGGACTGCTTCTTATTCCGGTCTCACAGGTGGCCCGAGTCCTCAGCGCCCCTGCTCGAGCAAACAGTCCGAACACGTCCCGACCCGACACTGGCTATAACGCCGCCGCCGCCGCCGCCGCCGCTGCAGCCGTGGCGGACGCGTGCTCTCTGGAGAGCACTCGAAGGTCGAGCGCTCCAGATGGCGTGGGCGGGGCGGGGCGGGGCGGGGCGCGTGGCGCGGCGCCGCTCCCGGCTGACTCACCGCGCCGTTCGCACCGCGTCCCGGACGCGGCTTCACGGATTCCGCGGGCGCCTTCTGCGATGTAGATCTTCGCGTTCTTGCGTCGCGTTCATGCCCAGGGAACTTCGTTCTTTTGGTGTTGTAGAAGCGTTATTATTATTATTATTATTATTATTATTATTATTATTATTATTATTATTATTATTATTATTATTATTATTATTATTATTATTATTTGCGATCTGCCATTTACGGCCACGTTATCTTCCGAGGCGCAGTCAGCTCCAGAGAGATTAACTTTTAATTATGGGGTTCAGCTTTTCCGGCTGAATCCGTTGATAAGACAGGGGTATTACGCTTTGAATTATGAACAATGAGGTGGTACGATGGAATTGAGGGGAGAAGGCACAACCAGAAATTCGACCATTCCTAGGCAGGGCTCGGACCTACATCCTCCTCGGCGTAGATGGCAGCTGCCGCAATTGTCTGTACTACGGAGCCGACTGTTTATGTTATTTATACATCTTTTTGCTATTTATTATTTATTTATTATTTTAATACTATTAGTTGAGCCTTGCGGGGGGGGGGTGTCGTTGGCTGGTGTACTCCACGGGTGTTCCGCCGATCTTCTTGTGCAAGTCCCTTCACCCCACCATCTCACGATCTTCACTCAAGAGGGTAGAGGTTGCTTCTAACAGGTGTACCTCAGGAACCTCTCATTTCTAGTGTTTTGAGTGAGGGTTACTTCGTTAGCTACTGGTCGTATGTAGTAATGTATGAAGTGTGTGGTCAATAGGGACAAGGGTCCCGACGTACAGGAACATAATTTTTCCGAATACCTGCAACGGTGTGACAGCAGACGGATCTTTTTCTTTCCTTACAAAATGCACTTCTCTCAGCTGCGTGCAAACCTGCGTGATCAGTTATTCGAAGCTTGAGAGCTAGTGCAATTAGCGGCGCCGGAATGTAGGTAGTCCAAACGTAAACATCAATCAGTAATTTTTACGCCAACTTCAAAGCGTTGCTTGTGTAATGGAGTAATTGTGTGTTGGAATAATAATAAAGTTATGGGACAGTAGTCAATTACTAATAAGAGACCATACTTCTCGAACAAGACAAATATATCCTAGCTTTTTCTTAGCCTAATTGTATGTAATCATATCTAATAGTAGCCCAAATAGTATGTAGTACGAGTATTCAGTGAAAATGAATTTAATTTAGCATCAGAGTTAATACGAACCAATGTTGTTTAAAAATACAGAAACAACACAAGCAGTTTAAATTCACTTAACACTACCGTATAGAGTTTGGAAGTATCGTATTAGTGAAAATAATCTTTAAAAAATACTACTTAGAAAATAAAAAGAAACAAGTAGAACGTAGGCTAGAGATTTCGCGATCATTGACAATCCAGAAGAGTCTGCATTATGTTGATGCTCTGATTTGAAGTTATAAAATGCAGTACAATTCAATGTCGCGCATTTATAGCTTTGTTGTTGATCAAGTGTTTTTGAACGTCCGTTTTAACCTCAGAATTATATCAGGCTCCCAGTATATTTATTAAAGAACGTGGCGGTAAAGATAAATACTAATTATCAAAAGTTACGAGTACAAGCTTATCCGTGCCAGCACGCAACTGAAATGATAACTAAACTCGTAAATAATTGGATTACTTAGATATTCCAATCTTTGTAAAATTGCCTATAATAAAATGCGGAACAATTTTTAAAACTAAACAGTATCGTGAGCCTCCTCCTGGTTCTCTTGAGACGACTGTAGCCCTGAAATTGTCACGTGTGGTTAAATTATTTCCATTTCTGCCCTGTAACTATGAGAACAGCTTCAAACATCCCAGTCCTTATCTTCTCACATAAATTTCAGAGCCGGTGCCTTAAACCTTCTCGAGATAAGTGGCTTACGCAACTGCGCGTGCCAGTACTCGAACGTGACTCTTTGTCGTCAATCTCCGTTCTACTACTGATTTTCATTATAAATAAGGTTCAATGAATCCTGAGAATTTTGTTGCCGCATTTCATATATTTCCGCCCAGTTTTATCCTCAAGAAAGCACTGTATACTTTTTAAGTTATCAAGCCAGCAAATGCAATAACGTATTTTCAGTGTCATATTTTACTCAATAATATGTTATATAAAAAGTAATTTTTACTTTCTATATACTTCATAGTATACAGAAAAATATGTAGTGCTGCTTCGAAAAACGTGATCTTTCGGCAGCATTTATCTGATGGTGGGTCCCCAGTACCGAAAAACTGAATAATTCTTGTTGGAATATGTAATAAATTACTTAGTTTAACGTGTGTTATCAGAATTACGATTTGTGGGTCGATGACAGAGAAAAATTGGTTTACGGCAAAACGTCCGTCCATCCGTCCGTCCATCCGTCCGTCCATCCGTCCGT